CTACTGCTGCTGCTGCTGCTGCTACTACTACTACTACACTACTACTAAATAGACTGGGGATGTAGCTTAGTGGTAGAGCACTTGCTTAGCTTAGCATTCAAGAGAATCTGGATTCAGTGACTGCTACAAAAATAAGAACCATTTAAGGAAGCTTAGAAAGCTAAACAAGTCTATCTAATCAGTACAACAGGCCAATAAAGTGGCTACTATTTATTGTCTCAATTTCACAGATGATGTATATAAACCTTAGAGAAACAAAAGGATTTTAATTGAAAACCATTAGTTAGTGACAACATCAGATTTGAACTCATGAGTGTGATTCTATAGTGGCTGCTCTTAGCCACTCTGCTATTTTGTGCATCTGGAGTATTTTCTTTTGCCTTTGTTCTTTGAATCGCTGAAACTTCATTTAAACCCAAAGAATGAAATTCCTGTTGAGGGCAAATTTTCAAATCAGTTCTCCCAGCTAGGGCTATCTGAGCCCAGACTTCCCATGGGAAGTCTCAGATCACTCAGAAGCTGCCAGAAATCCCTAAGCTTGTCACTCAAACCTAGCTACATCATTTACTAATGTGTGTGTGCAGGCACACACACAGATGAGGGGAGGGGGGGTGTATGGGGGAGACCTTGCTAGGATCAGTTAGTAGCAACAGAGCCCATGCCTTCCCCAGCATACTAGGGAAACCTGACAGTCCTCTGAGTCTTCATACCCACAGGGATCTCTCTAGCACTCCAGCCTGGAAACATGCGCAGAGGTGTTTGCTAGGTGGTTTTCCGTAGGGAGAATGCCTAGCGCCAGACCATCACGGCTGTTTCAGCACCATGGTCAGGGGCGCGTCGTTAGCCGGGCTAGCGCCGGCTCAGTTGGCTCAGTTAGCCTTGGCCCATGTATCTCGGAATCCCAGGCAGCAGACTGGAGCTGAAGGTTGACTAGGAGTCGGGGCGTGGTCGAGGTGCAATGGAACCTTTTGGCCTTACAAGAACCTCAAGGACCACGCTTGAGTCAAAGCCCATATGACTCGCCCCCCCCCCCCCACCTCCGCCATCTGTGGACAGAATAAAGAACACCGAACGGCTTATCTTAAGAGTCAGGGTCCCAATTCCAGTTTGCTCCGATTAGTTACCAAGTAATTGAGGACCTTGGGCAAGTCATTTATTTCCCGACTTGGGTCTCTGTTTCCATGAGTGTTGCGGCTCTGCCTGCCCACCTCACTGGCTGTAGAAGGATGCCTGAGAAGTAACCTGACATTCAGGAGACCTGTCCGTGCGTCTGACCTCTTGAAGGAGGGGCAGGCAGGTGTCGGCCCCGCCCCCTTTCTTGAGCAGTGGTCTGCAGCAATTTTAAAACTGGGGAGGGGGAAAGGAATACAAGGGATAACATTAATTCATATTCACAACGGAGAACATTAATTACAAGAGCGTAAAAATATAATTTCGTTTACTCAGCGCTTAGTTAGTGCCCCACTTTTAGTCTAACCTCCCCCCCTTCCCTACACTATCCCCAGCGTCTGGGACTGAGGGGCGTTTTCCATTGCTGATCTTTGTGGGGGACTGTAACTTCATTCACTGCAAGCACTACTTCCTCTTAGAGACCTAGGACTTCTACGAGGGGTTTTAGGAACTCCCTCCAACTTCTCTAGTGAATTAGCGGAGTCTCAGAGACTTGTCCAAGGTCATACAGCCAGCAGCCAGTGGGGGAAGGGTGCACCCGGCCCCGCCTGCCTTTGTGCCAGCCCAGCGTCCAGGCTCCCAGACATTAGCATTCCAATGGCCCCGGGACGCTTTGTCCCCCGACCGAGGCTGGCTGGGAGGTGGGGTGGGATGGGGGCAGGGCACCATAAATCTACCTGCTTGTGTGTGCCGACGGGGTTGGCCAGGGGGGACGAGGGGTGGGAGGTGCAAGATTCATGTGCTTTTTCTGGAAACCAGGCTTGGGCTCAGACAAAGGCAGAAGAGAGGCGAGAGTCATTCCACCAAACGGTCTTTCCTACCCGCGCTTGGGATCCTGTCCGGGTTTCAGGGACTTGGGGAGCAGAAGGCGACCTCAGACCGGAGGAGGATCCTCATTCAAAGAAGCGCTAGCGGAGGGAGTAAAATCGATTTCCCAGCCGAGTCGTCCAGCAGCCTTGACTGGTTTTAAAATCCACTGAACGTAATATCACCCGGGAGGTGGTGGGCGTGGGGGTGAAGGTGCCGGGCTAGTGGCACCGGCCACTCGGAAATGTTTCCGAGCCCTCCTTGCTTAGGGACTCTTTGGAAAGGGCCCTGGAGGATGTTCCCAACCTCAGCGCAGTTCCACACACGTTGATGAATCGTTCAGGCACAGAGCTCTAAATTTTTACAGGGATTATACCAAACTCTAACTCTTCAGATTTGAAAAGTAGGGCAGATAGCTGTTGAGTCAATGCCCCCGGCCCAAGGTTCAGCGGCAGAGAATCATAGTGATAGAGAATCACAGTGGGGGTCTGTGTATGTGCTCGGGGCCCACACACGCGCCTGTGTTTTAATTCGTGGGGCGGAAGGCAAGTCTGTGTGCATTGGGTGACTAATAGCTCCTTAATGAATGCCCTGGAAAGCAGGAGAGCACACAGTGGTTGCACCCCAGCTCTCCTAGGTGCAGCTAGCTGGAGGAGCTCACCCAAACTCTTGTACAGTTTCAAAAGGTCGTTTGTACCAAGGGAGTCCCCAGCCTGGATGAATACTACTTCTCAGAGACCTACACAGAAAGAAGGACCTTCTGCTTTTTTGTCCTGATCCAAACACACCTCCTCTGGCAAGCTTTCTGCAATTCAGCCCCATCCTCCATTTGTGGCTTCTATCTCCACATAGCACCAATATTTATTTGGTCTTAAATTATTTTGTCTCTACCCATGGGAGGACAGAGAGTTTCCTGCTTTTTATGTCTGCCTACACCCCTTCCCCCAGTACCCAACAAATAGCAGCCTTTGCTTGGTCTGTGCAACAGGGAACTTCTGACACCCCACACCCCTGCCCCATGCCCCAGGTGGAAAGTTGGCTGCTGCAGAAGTCATCAAGAACCCATTAATCTCCTCCTCTCAGATTAAAGTCATGAAATGAAACAACGCTCTGTTCATTCGTTTGTTTGCAGCATCCCCTTTCCTGCCCCCAAATCCTGCCCCTGATAACTGAGACAGCTCCTCCTTTAAAGCTACCTTTAGAGACTTGGAAGTTGAGGCCAAGGAAAAGTTCAGTTTAAAGGGCAAAGGAGAGGGAGACATACACAAGAAGTGTTAACTCCTGATAAGCCACCACCTTTGAGTTCTAAGGTGCTGGAAAGAGACCTACCCACAGCTCCTGGTCTCTGGCAGGGCCACCTCAACCTGAGTTGGTCCCATTTCTTTCCAGGATCCCCTGATGACCCAAGGGAGGCCTCTGGGGTTCAACTAGCAGGTAGGGTTCCTGCCCTCCATTTTCCTGTTCCCAAGTTGCAGACAGATTCTGAGGATTCTTAGACTTTAGACCAGCTTCCCTGAGAAACCAGGGACCCCAACTCCATGAAGGTACACTCCACCAGTGAGTGACCTCAAGACAGTCTCAGTATGTGGGGGAGCCAGCCTTATTACACCAATTACATCTCTTGGTAGTAAGAGATCACTTGACTGGAAAAAAATTTCAATCTAGGTTGCTGGTGTTTGAGGCATGCCAAAGATTTCAGCCGCACTTGCCACCTTCTCAGATGGCAGCTGCTAGGGTGAATGAGTGGAGGCGTCACAGACCCAGCAACTTTGGAAAACTCCTGGGACGCCCAGCCTGGCTCCTGTGTTTCTGAGGACTCCAATTCACAAATTACTCTCTGCCTTCCCCAAGTGGGGAGTCGCTTTAAATTCAGGCTGATGAAGTAGGGGACACAGCATGTCGTGTAAGTTGAAGATTTGTCTTCTAAACCTTTGTTTGAAATAGGACAAGTCGCTGTTTTTATAAAGAAAACAGGAGGGCGGGATTAATGATTCCTTAAGAGACTTCCAGCCTGCAGTTGAGCACCCAGGGGAGGGGCTCCAGACTCCCAGAAAGATTTTCTAGAACAGAAGCACCCGGAACTCAGCCGCAGTAACTACCCTCCCCTCCTCGCGGGACAATCCAGTCACTCGCTGAGACTTCTTGAGGGTCCATCTTTTATTGGCTCAAAGTCTCATTCACCAGTCCCTAATAGTCTTATGTACAAAATATAGACTTTTCCCGCCATGAAATCTCATCAATAAATACAAATGTGTAAAACAGGGGAGGGAATATATAATTTACCATAACAAATCATTACCAAAGACATTATATAATTTACAAACTGATTCTAAAACAGAAGAGACGCGCAGCGCTTCAGGCACCTGCAGCGCTGCCACGTTTCAGACGCACCACGCAGAGAAGCTGGGGAGATGCTCCAGGACGCCAGCTAGGCTTTCCCAGTTCGCCACCCGGTCTCCAGGCTCCGGGAGGGCAATGGCTCCGAAAAGTGCAGGAGGAGAAGGCGGAAAATCGCCTTCGTGGATTAAGGCAGAATGGAGCATCCCGAAACCTCGGACTTGGAATAGGGAAAGTCAGCAGCGTCTTTGGAGCAGGATGAGGGACCAAGCACTGAGACCAAACATTGGATTAAATCGCATTATAGGAGGGTGGTAGAAGACAGACGGAAAGGCAGACAAACAGACTTGAATTAGAGAAGGGTGCCCAGATTGTGAGTGTCTCAGGTTGTGTAGTGCTACCACGCTCGTCTTCTTTGAATGAGTTTTGGGGTGATCGTAGGCAAGAGGCCTAAAATACGCGCAGCTTGCAATGCCCGCTTCGTGCCCGTATCCCCAAGGTTTGCGTGAGCTGCAGTCAGCTTGATTGAACACAGTCTGCGGACCAGAGGCCCAGGGGTCAGCCAGTGAGAGACAGGAGGAGTAAGCGCTTGAAGGTCACCGCCCACCCCCGGCGGCTCTGACTCCCTCCCTCCCTCCCTCCCTCCCTCGCTTTGAAAACTATGGCCCAGAGACCCACAGAACCCTTCACAGGAAGTCTGAGAATGCCAGGGTGCCCGGGCGCAGGCAAGCGGGGGAGGTGGGCCCCCGCAGCCCGGGGCGCTCTTCCAGGGAAGCGGCTGGGCTCAGGCTGCCAGCTTGGGAAACTGGAGAGTAGAGGGAGCCCCAGTCCCCAGAGGAGCCACTGTCTGGGCTGCCCAGCTCCCCACAGGGCGGTGCGGGAGGGTCTGGCCCGTAGAAGCTGTGGTCCGCTATGCGCAGAGTTTGAGTCAGAGCCCAGATGTAATTGTGGGCGAAACGCAGCGTCTCGATCTTGGTGAGCTTCGCATCGTCCGGGAAGGTGGGCAGGACGCCGCGCAACGCGTCGAGCGCGGAGTTGAGGTTGTGCATCCGATTGCGCTCGCGATCGTTTGCCTTCTTGCGCCGACTCCTTCTCTGCTTGCTCAGCGCCAACTCGCTCTTTGGCCGGCTGCGCCCTCCTCGCCGCGCCCTGAGCTTCTTAGCAGCGCCTGGGCAGGCACCCGCTTCTGCCTCGGAGCAGTTTCGGGGCATGCGAGTGGGGCTAGGTGGGGCGGACGCGGCGCAGGGCCCCACGTTATCGGAGACTCCAGGGAAGGGCTGCTGGATCTCGTGGGCCACTTGGATAGTGGGTGCACCCAAAGGATGAGGCGCCATCCTGTGGCTGGGTAAGAGAGAAGGGTGAGCTTGGGTCAATAGCCCCGGGCAGTTCCTATTCTAAGGTCAGGTGGGGCGGGGGTAAATGAGGATGAACCGCCCCCTCCGCAGGATCAAAGGGCCCCTTATCTCTTGCTGGCCCCTTGGCCGTCTCCGAGTGTTACCTAGTTTTCCTGGCGCAAAAGGTTAGAGAGCAGTGAACCTCAGAGGGCAGTGGGGAGCTGAGGTGGCCCGTTCGCTCCCAAGTTTTGCTGAGCTGCTGGCGCCACTGTCTGGGAGTTGCCTCAAGAGAAGAAAAGCTCCTAGGGGGTCCTGGACCTCGGTCGTTTTCTCTCCTCACGGCGCAGAGACGGCAGGGATTCCCTGAACCACAAGTCGTGTGCCCCTTGGCACGCTTTATCTGCTAGGCCCGGGCCAGGAGCGTGCCTGCCGGGCTGCTGCCCGCGCCACCGGCCAATCAGCGCTGGGGTCCTGAGGCCGCGCCACGTGAGCCCGCTCCTCCCCCGCGGGGCACAGCTGGATTCCGGACAAAGGGCCGGGGTCGGGGGAGGGGAGCGCCGCTCTGTTTGCTCTCTCCCGCGGGCTCGTCCCAGCAACTCTCGGTTCCTCAAAGAGCCTCGCCCAGTGAGAAGAACTTCGTCTGGCTCCCGTCTGGCGGCTTTAGACCGCTTTGCCCCTTCCCATCTTTCCCTGGCATCTGTCCAAACGCTGTCTTGGTTCCCTATAGGGACTTTGGGGAGGCCGTAGGGAAGGCCAATCTCTGAGTATTACACACGGGAAATTTAGACTCAGAGAAGAAGAAGGTAGCTTGCTTCTCAACTGGCGTGATAGTTGCATAGGTAGAATAAGGAGCCAGGTGTGGTGTCCTGACTAGCAGCTGGGAGGAGGGCCCACTAATTCTAAATACCACCCGGCTCTTCTGCGCTATGGGTCAGGTTAGGAAGTACTCTTGGGACAGTGTTTCACAGACCCTCTCCATCCAGGGAGGAATGCTAAGAGCCATAGCCAAGTAGTAATGATGCATGGCATTTTTGGTTGAAAGGTGACGCCAGCAAGCCATTGAGATGATATGATTATGCTAAGATCTGCATTCAAATGGATATTAGACCCCCCGCTGTCCACCTGGGCCTGCTACAGGACTCCTGGAGAGTTCCCATTGGTTGGGGAAGTAGGGTAAGAGGGAATTCCGCAGGAGGGAATTTCCTGTTGGTGTGTGAATCCGGGAGAACACCGCGTGTGTGGGTCGGCATATTTCCCGAGAGCATACAAGGCATTGGCGGGAGTTTCAAAAATAAAATTTGTTCCTGTTTGAGTGGCTCGTGAATTTTGTGCTCAGCCAGACTGCGGCAGAGGAAGGACAGGAGTGACCTACGGGAGAAATCCTGCTTATGTCCCTTTAATTCAGAGACCTTCGCCTTGGGGTGTCCAAGCCCTTCCACAGTTAACTTGCCTTGAGATGTCAATCAGTGTCCAGACAGAGGCTTAGAATCCCACCCTATCCCCATACCAGATCCCATCCCAGAAGATGGTTGTGGTGGGGTTCCAGAGGGGGCATTCCAGCACTACCACTCATGGTTAGTATCCTGGCAAGCACTGAGGCCGGGGCATAGGTGGGGAGGTTTGAAAAGGTCAGGAGGGGGCCTGGAGTTCATAGCCAGCACTTGGTCTTTTGAACCCCCAGGGTGCGCTGGTTCTGTGAGAGGCAAGTAAATCTACTCTTTCCCCCTGAGTCTTCTTGTCCAATCACAAGCGGGAAATGGGCTGCCAGCTTCACCTGGTCCAGCCCTCTGCTCGGCATCACTTAGGAATCGGGCAGCCAGCACAGGGAAAGGACTCTCCGAGGTCCCAGGTTTGCTCGTCTTAGCGCTGCCTGGAAACGTTTCCAAAGTGAGTCTGAAGGTAGCATCTGTCCTTTTTCTGCTGCCCCTCCCTCTTGTCCCCGCGTCGGACACCCCGTGGTCTTCTGCTTCCGGTCACTCAGGGTGAGGGGTTGCGGCTTCCGCTCCTCTCTCTTGTCCGGGATGTGCTTTGGGGAGGAAGCCGAGGTCGGGATTAAATCTCGGTTGCAAAGTCTTGGCTTTGTAGCAGCAAAGTCTTCGCTTTCTAGCAGTTCCAGATACTCAGAGCCTCCCGGAAACTGCAGGAGGGGCCAGCCCCCCGGGATGGGAGACTAAGGCAATGGGGCGAGGGAATGAGGTAGGTCTGCCCTAGTGATGGTCTCTCACTGCCCAGGCAGCTTGGGGGCAAAATTCTCTCCTAGGCATAGGATGATATGCATAGGAGCCAGCTAGAGGGAGCTCTAGGATTGGGTGGGGGTGGGCTCGAGGTCCTTCCTATCTCACCCGTGAGCAGCGGGGGTCCCTTCCTGTTTCCGGGAAAATGAAGTCTGGGGTCAAGGTCAGGACCAACAAAGACTTTCCTGGGCATAGGATTCGGGCTTCATATTCTGTTGCAGCTCCTTCCTTAGGCCGGGACTAGCTACAAACTTGTCTTCTAGTCTTAAGAACGAAACTGGAGACCTGCTTTACAGATGGAAAAGTCGAGGCCCAGAGAGGGAAAGTGACTTGCTCAAGGTCACACAATGTAATTCTGTTAAACCACATGGAATTCAGATCCTAAGACTCCTAGACCTAGATTTTCCCCTGGCACTTTTTTCCATGTCCTGGATTTGGAGGGAAATAAGAGACATTGAAATGCAGAAAATAGAGGAAGTCCTGAGTCTGGGAGGAATGACAGGATAAGAAAAGGAATAATCCAGTGTCCCTCCCAGTCAAGGAGAGCCAGCTCCACTTATGCTCCAGCTTTCCACTTTTCTGTCCCATATCCTAGCCTTGCTTGATTTAGACATATTCAAATAAGGAACTGGGGAAGGATTCTCAAAGCATATTTCTATAGGAGTCCTGGGACCCTGAGTCAGGCTCTGTTGAGAGAGCCCTAGCCAGGAGGGACCCAAGTGCCCTGGTGGTTACCAGCAGGGGTCTGAAGAGCAACCCACAGTGACCCTCATCTAGAAGTGGATCTCAGGTAGGGATGGAATCTGGCTGGCGCCTGCCTTGAAAGACAGGATACTGATCAGAGCCCAGAGCAAGCTTCATGAGCCAGGCAAAGTTCTGAGGATTCTAGCCAAGATGTCGATTGGTAGAGAATTCTAGGGCCTGTTGGAAATTCTTATCCAGACTCCTCAACACCCCTTTGGCTCAGGGCTCTCCAGGGCTTTCAGGCTGCCACCGCTCTTGCTTTGCGTAAAAAGCAATCAGGGCCCGGAGCGCAGCTGCTGCAGCAGTGGAGCTTGAGGGACCAAAGGACACCCTACCACCTCTTTCTCTGGCCAGGAAGCCGAGCTGGATGTCCACAAGTCTCGGGGGAGTTCGAGGTTAAGGATCCATACCCTTTCTCTCAGCTGCAGGGGACTCACAGACCCCTCTCCAAAGTTAATTCCTGCACCGCAGAGTGCTGAGGCGCAGGCGGTGACTACGCCGATGCGCGCTGGTTGGGTTGGTAAAATCGCTCTTCCCATTGGGAACAGAATCTGTTCCCACAACCCCCAGTAATCCACTGCCTCTAAGGCCTTCAGGACCCCTGTACCCCTCGACCTTCTGAGACCTAGGCTTGCCTGGAGATTGAGGGGGTCTAGGAGAGAGGGACAGCCAGGCGCCTGGAGACCGAGGGCAGATTGGAAAAGAAGGAAGGCAGCGGCTGGCCCTGCCGCCTTCCTGTCGGCGGGGGGAATCTTAGCATTGCCTGGGGGCTCTTTGAGAATGGGGTGAGGAGTAGGGGCCACGAGAAGCTGAATAGCTAATGGCTTGCCAGAGGAGGGGGCCTTCTTTCTCTCGCCTTCGCTTCGGCACTGAAAGAGGGGAAGACAAAAATCTGGCGAGCGAGCTGCCCGGGCCGAGACTGGCCACTTCAAACAGCCCTTCAAACAAAAGGAGAGGACGAAAAGAAAGCCCCACCTGTCTCCAGTGTTTGCTAAAATAATAATAAATAGATTTCGTTTAATAAATAATTACAAGAGATTGTAAAGTGGAGTGCTTTGGAAAACATCTACCGCGGGAGTCGGCGCAGCCAGCCGTCACCTGCTCCCAAGGCGGACAACTTTATTGTTAAGCCACCCCCTAACTAGTTCGCCTCTGATAAACTCTCCCTGGTTTTCACAATGACTGTTTACCCATAGTTAGCACAATATTACCTTTGCAGTGATAAACCCGGAGAGGGGAGACCTGGCCCCTGGCCCCTGGGCACACCTGTCCCAGAAGCTGACACATGGATTTGGCACCAAGCTGGCCTCCCCCCCGGGGGCCCTGCCCCCGTGTACATTGGCCCAATTGCCACTCATTTATAACAGGTTGGCTGCAAGGCCTATCTCGGTCCTATTTGTCTTCTTTTATTGAAAACATATGGTCTCCAGGGGCTCACTAGCCCCATATTTCATCTGCCAGGATCTGGGGCGCTTCCGCAGGCTGGTGCTGCCCAGCGCGCTGCTCCCCATTCAACGGCTGCTGCGCCAGCTGAGGGGACCACGGAGGTTGGGTGGGGAGAGATAAGGCGGGGACTTCACCGGTTTTAGGAGAGAAGCCATTCCCTCGGTGATTCCCCCTCCCCAGGCTCAGGGACCTCGTGCGCTCTTGAATGGGTGGCTGGTTCTTTTTCTTGGGTAGGTGAGAGGGCGCCATATGCTACCCCCCAGGGCGCACGAGGGAGCTCTGGCCCAGGGAGTCCGAGAACAAAGGGTGGAGAGGGTCCGGACGCTCAGGAGCGCCCGAGGTCTTTATTTCCAGATCCCCCTCCCTGCCTAAGACCGCCTCCCAAGGGCGTCCGCAGCTCGCGCGCAGCGCCTGGAGACAAAGTGTTCACATTATTGCTGTCGGCGGCGGAGACGTGAATGCGTGAAAAGGTGCATTACGCACGAAGACACCTGTTGAAACGGCCCCTCTTCTCAGCGCCTCTCTCTGCTCTGCGCTGAGTCAGGAGCTGCGCGAGGAGTGGGGGGTGGGAAGAGG